ACGGCACATAACAACAAGAACAACAAGGAAAGGTTTATACATACAGTCATTCTTCGATAATTGTGGATGAAGAGGGGAGGATAAAGTAATAAAAATTAATACATAATTTGGGTGCCTGGAAAATTATACACAAAGCATTGATTAGACATTGTAATGGATTCATTATACTAATAATCATAATTAATGTGATAGAACAAAATGTGTGAATGAATGAAAAGATGATTTACAAACTTTTATGTAAATAAAAAACAAAAGTTAACCATCAAAAAAGTGAATAAAAATATTCATAGTGAGAAAAGTGTGTATGATCAAATATTCTTCATTTCCTCATGAAAGACTATTGCAAATTTGGACAAATTCTCTCTACTCTTAAACTAGTAAAATATTATCAAGTTTAAAATTATATTCCTCCTACCAAAAAATAAAACTAAAAAAAGGTAAAGTTCTACAAGGCAATCTGTAAAAAGGAATTAAGAATCTTCTTAGAACTTTCTAGCATAACCAGAAACCCACAATATGATGTTGAAATAGATGAATGAGACTTTCTAAAATAAAATGGTTATGTACTTAAAAAAAAAAAAGCCTTCTCCAACAGAGTAAATGGAATCCCACAGACTGGGGAAAAAAGGTTTAGCAATGACCTATCTGATAAGAGACTCATATCTAAAATTTAGAGAATACTCCAAAACATTCATAAGATAAACACAAAATGGGCAAAGGTTGTAATGAAGACATTTCTCAATCAAAGAAGAGCGTCAAATTGTAAAAAAAGACAAAAACAGAAAACCATGAAAAAATGCTTAGAATCACTAGTTATTGCTGTTTTTATTTTGTACCATCAAGTTGGGATTAACCCATAGCAGACCCTCTAGTGGATTTTCAGAGGCACAGGAGGAAATCGCCCATCCTTCTCCTGTAGAGCAGCTGGTAGACTCAAACACAAAGAGAAGCAAATCAAAGCAACAATGAGCTATCATCTCACTCCAGCAATAATAGTAAGGTTCAAAGGAACAGCAAACAATGCATACCAGAGAAGATAAGGAATTATAGGTAAGGCAATTAACAATCTGGAACAGGACAAGCCTTACAAAGTAAATTGGGGGAGTTGTTGTTGTTATGTGCTGTC